GGGGTGGGGGAGGGGTGCCTGGGAGAGGGGGGGACCTCTGCCAGTCCCCCCCACCGTGGCTGCCCTGCCTGCCCCAGCTCCCGGTGCTTTAAAGAAAAGCCCTGGTGCTCACCAGGTGCTGCTGGGTGGGGACATGATCCCCACATGGGTGGATCTGCACAAGCCCCCCAACTTCCCCAGCCCCCCCACGGGGGCCCGCCCAGGACAGCTCTGGCCCTTTAAGAAAAAGAAAACAGAAAAAAGCCCTGGGACTCTCTGTTTCTGCAGCAGCCTCAGGGCTTCGGGGGGCTTGTGCAGACCCCCCCATGTGGCATGGGGCAGTGGGAGGCAGTGGGGATCACCCCCCCCACCAGCAGGAATGGTGAGTCTGGGGGTTTTCTCAGGTTTTTTTTTTTTTTTCTTCTTAAAGGGGCAGAGCTGGCCTGGGCAGGGCAGCCTTTGGGGGCAGGGGCTGGGGGACTGAGAGGGGGTCGGGGGCTCGTGAAGAGCCCCCCAGGCAGCATGGGGCAATGGGGGACAGCAGGGATCACCCCCCGCCCAGCAGCACCTGCTGAGTTGGGGCTTTTTTTTCAAATTGCTGAGCGCTGAGCCTGGTAAGGCAGCCATTGCTGGGCGGGGCGAGCAGGCGGGGGATCGGCCTGGCTGACTTGGAGATTCCAGTCACCGAATCAAATCACTGTCCCCCGAATCAGCCGAATCCGAATCCAAAGCGAATGCTAGCCGCTTCGCACAGGCATATGATTTATGACTGGAGGAGAGGCAAGGTTTTTTTGTGTGAAGTTTTTGATTGGGCCAACTGCATGGGTGGGGATCAAGTTCTTCAGAAAGAAGGGAGTCTTAAAGTGAAGTTTCCAAATTCATACTCATGCATCCAAGTAACTGGCTGGATTTCTGAAGAGCCTGCAATGTCCATGTAGCCGCCTCAAAAATTTTGGCTTGCAACACTAGACAGAAGTAACCAAAGATGGCACAAAAGTCTCTGAAAGAAACTATTTTTAGGGAAAAATTGTTTTTCCTAAGAAAGAGTTAATATAAATGGGGTGCAAGATAAGGAGACATGTGTACAGGTCACAAGATACTGTTGTCTGAGGAACCCAGAGGGGTAGGGGGAAACCACACGGAATAGAGAACAGAAATCCTAGCAAACCTGGTCTCATAAGCCAGATGTCAGAGAGCTTGTATGGGGCTCTTTACATGTTGGTAGCGTTGAGTCCAAGTAAAGGTGTTCATTGAGGAAGATACACCTACACCTACACCCTACTTCTGGAGCAGGGTTCTTGGAACGTCTGTACACAGACGCTGAATCCAGACTTGCAGGCACGTGCGTTCTGTAGAGCTGCAAAACAAAATGTCCCAAAGAAAAGTGGCATGGTGCATGCCAGAGGAGCGTGCGCCGGCTGACACAGAGGCTCAATCAGTGTCTCCCCTCTAGTTCCGTCCTACCTCCTGCAGCATGCTGGGAGCTGGGAGGAACGGGGAAACAGCAATTTCCCCAACGTGGGGCATTTTGCTCTACATCAAAGTGCACGTGCAGGGGCGTGACCCGTGGCAAAAAGTACCAGCGCAAATTTATGTGAAGGGGTGCATCTCTACATGCAGAGGTGTGTGCTTGCAGCAGCACAAACTGCTGGCACAATGCCTTGGCCTTAGTATGGCACTGCTGCCACATTTTGCTGTGCCCCCGCTTGGCTAGCTGGGCAGCAGTCACTCAGTAGATGTGCTCATTGCGCTGTCTCTGTGCAAACTGATGCAGCATGGCCTCCTGGCCCCAAATGGCCAGGAGGTCAGTCACCTCCTCAGGCCACCAATTGATTCTCCAGTGCCTGGTCTGAGCAGACTCCTGTATGTGGGTCCCCCCACCTGCCTCATTGTGGTCAGCCATGGTCCCTACAGCAAACTCCAGGGCCTCCTGCTGCTCCGTGCTGGCTGTAGCTGAGCCTTGGGTGGAGCAGTGACACAGTTGCACCCACCTATACAGCATTTGGCTGGCCATGGGTGGCTGTATGGGCCCAGGACTGGCCTGGGGTGCCAGATGAGCTCAGCAGCTGGGAGCTGCAAGCCCTGCCATGCTTCTGATTGCTCCAACTATGCAGCGTGCTGGAGCAGCAGGGTCACAAATGGATCATACAGATGCACTGGCCAGCAGCCAGAGTGTCTCCCTGGAGGTCCAAGCCCCTGTTTGCTCTGGAGCATGCTTTGCCCTGCTGTTTTTTGCTCTGCTTTTCTCTGCTACTGGGAAATCCTGGTAGCAAATTTTGGCGCTGCACTGCAAATTTCCAGTGCAGCGCACGTTTGAACATTTGCCTTGTTCAGTTTGTGGCACCACAAAGAGGCTTGTGGAACAACAAACTGCACATGTCTGCACATCTGGATGCAGCCAGAGGCCACTAGAGTTCCTCTGCATTTTAAAGGGATACTACCAAGTTTCTGTGCACAACTATATACCACTCAGAGTCTTGCTATAATATTTCTGTCCCTTTGCTAAGCAGCAGCAGATTTCACAGCCTGGTAAGTCAGTTTCCTATCTGAAGTAGAAATTGGGGGAGTTAGGTACTTTCTTAGGTTTTCTTGTTATTGACAAAATATGCAGAATGTGTTTCCTTAAATGGATGTGGTCACAAAACTTGTACACAGAAAACATTTTTTCCTTCCCCCTGCAAACCTGCTTTACCACCACAGAGCACTTGTGCTGGCCTCTGCATGAAGTCTCACTGCATAAGCCTGCTGGTTCTGTTCCTTCCTCAACTTGCACTGTTCTTCAAATAGCTAGCACAAGTTGCCTGATCTCAGGCCCTGATTCTCATGGGGGACTTCAATCATCATGGCATATGCTGGGAGCAGTAGAGCAGTGCCCAGGCAACCCAGGAAGTTTTTGGAGAGTGTTGGGGACAATTTCCTGGTTCAAGTGCTGGCACAGCCAACTAGGAGCCATGCTCTTCTTGACCTGCTGCTCACAGACAGGAAAAATTGGTTGGGAATGTAGACATGGATGGCAACTTGGGTGACCACAAAATGATTGAGTCCAGGCTCCTGAGGAAAGGAAGCAGAACAATAGAGTAAGGACCCTGAACTTTAGAAAAGCAACTAAATGGTGGTTCCAAAAAGGATGGAGCTAGACTGTTGTCAGTGGTAGCAAATGACAGGACAAGGAGAAGATAGCAGGACAGGCTGCTATCTTGTGGGTCTCAAGTTCCAGGAAGGGAAGCTGAGGTTAGCTGTTAGGAAGAACTTTCTCACTAGGAGGGTAGTAAAACACTGGAACAGGTTACCCAGGGAGGTGGTGGAATCTCCATTCTTGGAGGTTTTTAAGAGCCAGCTGGACAAAGCCTTGGCTGGGACGATCTAGTTGGGGCTGGTCCTGTTTTGAGCAGAGGGTTGGACTAAATGGCCTCCTGAGGTTGCTTCCAACCCCAATTTTCTATTATTCTAATCCTTGGGCTCTTATGTAGAAAGGCCCCAAAACAGAAGCCCTCACCGAGGATTACACAGCTTCAAGAGGAGGCCTAAGTATTGACTTTCCTGTTTGAATAGCTGTCCTATAATACACAGAAACTGCAGAGAAGGGGTGCATGCCCATCAGCATGGGCTGTGACCCACAAGATAGCAACTTTAACATCTTCTGAGTACTGTTGCCACCCAGCATCCTAATTCCTAGAATCATATAATCAGAGAAGGTTAAGGTTGGAAGGGACCTCATGGGGTCATCTAGTCCAACCCACTGCTCAAAGCAAGACCAGCCTCAACTTGATCATCCTAGCCAAAGTTTTGTGTAGCTGGGTTTTGAAACCCCCAAAGACAGAGCTTTCTCCACATCTCTGAGTAACCTGTTCCAGTGTATTACTACCCTGCTAGTGAGACAATTCTTCCTAACATCTAACCTAAACTTCCCTTGATGCAGCCTGAGACTGTTGCTGCTTGTTCTGTCATCTGTCACCACTGAGAATAGTCTAATTCCCATCCTCTTTCAAACCTCCTTCAGGTAGTTGAAGGCTGCTATTCCATCTCCTCTTCTCTAAACTAAATAAGCCCAGTTCCCCCAGTCTTTCTATGGGGAGTTTCATCCTGCCTGAATATGTGTCAATGACTCAGAATATGTGATAGGATTGGGGCAAGACATGCTCATATCTGAATGTCAGTATGGGGAGATTATGTCTTGCCCCAGTCCTATCTGAATGTCAGTAGGGGAAGATTCCTCTTTGACCAGTGCCCTGATATAGGCTGTTATCGTGGTTATCTAAGCTTCTAATAATAATGGCCATTGGATTGGTCAATATAGGTGATCAGCATGTAAATTACTCAGTTCTACCAAAATCCACTCCCTTTTTTATCATTCATATTACAGTAGACCCCACTTCCACCCTGGAATTTCCTCAGAAACTCCAGATGCTCTTGGTGAAAATAATGACTCAGCTCTCAGAGAAAGGCATCAATTGACTTGATGTGCTTTTTTCAGATGCTGTTCAGGAAACTTCAGTGGTCCAAAGGAAAGGCTATTTTACCAGTGCTTTTAATATGTGCTCTCTTCTCAAGCTCAGGTAGGTTCACAGTTTTGTATTCCTGTTTAATATGCTTTGTTCCAGAGCTGTAAGTACCCTGTTCTGGATTCTGTGGGCAGGAGGTTCTGAGCTAGCTTTGCCTTCATGTATCACACAAGACAAATTACTCTGGAATAACTTTATTGACTTAATTGACGCTTGACCACAAATGAACTTGGCTACTAGACGAAACATGAACATTTAGATGGTACACTCCTGTCTCTCTCTACCTGCTGCTTTAGATGACTAGAATGATTCCATTTTTCCCCCTGTGTGGAATCACTTATGATATGAATGCATCAAACTTCAATGTCATTACTGTTGACTTCGCTTCTGCCTTGACATGAACTACAGAAAACTCATTGACCAGTTCTGAAAACAAATGGCTGACATTATCAAGGCTTCTCTACTCCATCTGCCAATGTTCAGATAAGATTATCACAACTCAAAATAAGAGATGGAGAAAAATTATGAATGCAAGAGTTCAAAGTGATAACTCCTTTCATATACAACTTCTATTTTGTGCAGTCTCATTTTTCTGATGCTGATAATTTACAGCGATAAAATCAAGTGGTAGAGGATGAACTCTGGGCCCCTAAAATGAAGGGTAATTCCACAAAAGCCACTGAAGACTCTTTGAATTTATTCCCCTGAGAAGAGAGTTTGATCCTTTGTGCATAAGAAAGAGTCAGTTGAAGGACACTTCCTTCCTGCTGACATGTGGTACCTAAGGTTATATAATATACAAAGACTTCGTGGTCACTGCAAATAGATTGGTATTCAAGAATATCAAGGATGTCTAACTGTTTGTCAATCAATGAAATAGTGTGCCAGTGTCATTTAGTCCAAACTCTGGATTAAGGCAGGATCATCCCTGTCTAGACCATCCCAGAAAAGTGTTTTTTCTAACAGGGACTAAAAAAAACCTTACAGTCTCGGAGATCCACATCCTCTTTAGGTAACGTGTTATAGTGCTTAAGCACCCTCATAGTTAAAAAAGTTCTTTCTAATATCTAACCTAAACCTCCCTTACTGGAATTTAAGCCCATTATGTCTTGTCCTCTCTCCTGTGGACAGAGGGAACAGTTGATCACTACCCTCATTATATTTGAAGACAGTTATCAAACCCCCATCCTTCCCTTTTCTCTAAACTAATCCCACATCTTTGGACTAAATTATGCCAGTTCTTTCCACTTTTTCTCATATACTTTATTTGTAAAGCTCTGGTCATTTGGTTGCTGTCTTCCGGACTCTTTTCATTTAGTCCACCTCAAAATTGGACACACTACTCCAGCCAAGGTTTCAACAGTGCTGAAAAAATTTCAAGAATCATTTCCCATGACTTGCACACAGTACTCCTGTTCATATAATCATAGAAAGTGAAGGTTGGAAGGGACCTCAGAAGGTCATCTAGTCCAATTCCCTGCTCAAAGCAGGACCATTCCTGATGAAGCTTTGTCTAGCTGGGTTTTGAAAAACTCTAAGGATGGAGGTTTCTGGGTAACCTCTCTGGGTAACCTGTTCCAGTGTTTTACTACCCTTTTAGTGAGAACATTCTTCCTAATATCTAACTTAAACTTCCCTTGCTGCAATTTGAGACGGTTGCTCCTTGGTATATCATCTGCCACCACTGTTAATACATTCCAATGTACTAATAGCTTTTTTGGTAACAATTTTACATTGTTGACTTGTGGTTCAGTGGGGCCCCTAAATTCTTTTTCTAAATAGCTACAGCCTAGCCACGCATTCCCCATTTTATATTTGTGCATTTGATCATTCCTTCTCAAATATAGTACCTCACAGCTGTCCTTATAAAATTTTATCTTCAGACTATTTTCCAATGCATCAAGGTCATTTTGAATCCCAATCCTGTCATCTACTGTGCCTGTGATTACTACCAGCTTAATGTCATCCACAAATTTTAATAAATATAAACTAAATGCCAGCCTCCAAGTCATTTCTGAAGATATTACACTGTGCCAGATGCAGGACAGACTTCTGAGGAGCCTCACTTCACACTTCCTCTCAGTTGTACATTGGACCCTTGTTGACCACTCATTGAGCTTGAGTTACTAAGCAGCTATTCATCCAGCTGATTGTGGTTTCATCTATATGAGTGGTAAGCAACATTTCAGAGCTGTGGAACAAAAGAACCTGGTTTGGGTCCAAAGTGGACCACTGTTCCATCCCAGCCCCTGCCACTTTTCCCTGACACTAGTTCTTCCTGCAGCATGGGATCAGCTCCCCAGACCTGGCACTGCCACAAGCAAAGGTCCCTCCTGTGGGAATGCTACCAAAGCTACACTACTGATATGCCGTTGAAGCCCTCCCAACTCCCTGGCTAAGATTTGGTGCTTATACAGCATGTTGCTGACCCCTGATCTACAACATATTTTCTGAGATATCGTGGGAGAGACAGTGCCAAATGTACTGCATGTATATTATGAGGGAGTCTTGCTAAAGGTAACTATGAAATTTCAAATTGAGGTGTGAAACAAAGTGCTTACCAATAGGCACAAAGAGAAGAAAAATAATACAAACATTTTTACTTCAGAGCATTAAGACCTCAATTCTTGGTGCTGGAATGGAGACTGTGGCCAGCCAGACATATCATCACATCATCCTCCATCTGGAGGATGTGAAAGAACTGGCTTACTCTTTGCTGTCTATGTAACTCACCCTTTCTATCTTCTTTTCCCCACTTAGGGTTGCATCAGGATGCATCCACTGCAAGGAGAAAAAATGTGGTCTCATTACAGGGTAAAATGGTGAAAATGGAATGTATTCACATTAGTAATGCAGCAGAAGGTTTGATCCTAACTCTAAGGAGAAATGGCACCGCCGCTGAGCTTTGTTACTGGCGGTTTGGAAACTTTAGCATTTGGAACAGAATCTGCAAAGGTTCTGTAACTCTAGAGTACGATCATCACACCAGATGGGTTTATGCTGTTATTCAGAGAGTCTCTGTGAATGATTCCGGGGTTTATAACTGCACCCTGGAAAGCATGATTCCTCCACCGGTGAAAACACTGGACTATACATACATTTACCTAACAGTATCAGGTGAGCTAGGCATTTGCAATATTCCATCAGACACCATTTCTGTGGGTTATTTTTCTTCTATTGTTATCATTTTAGAAAGATAAATATCCTAAGAAACTGCAGCAAGTCTCTTATATGCAGATTTAATGCTACTGCAATACTTATTGTTCATGCTGCTGAGTGTGGGCTCCCTTCTGCTACCTGAGCTCCGTAAGGGCAACCTGAGCCCTGTTGGTTATTGGGTATCTTCCTGCTTGTTGCTGTCATGTCTAAAGGAACCTTATCACCTGTTCAACAAGAAACCTCCATGTATGTTTCTCCTAATACTCCCCAAAAGCACAAACCCTCTCTTCTCATTTCAGATAGCATTGCAGAGCAGGTTGAGGGAGACCTCCTGATTTTCAATTGAGCCTTACAATACAGTTTCTAATGCAACGTTTACATAGTGAGGCATCAAACGTTAAAAGCAGTGATTCTCAGGGGTGTTATGAAATCCTTTTAAGGGTGCCATGTGATACCACATAATATTAGCACTGATAGGTATGCAAATGACAACGAGATAAACCCAGAGATTTCAAATAAATATCTATAGTGTGAAAACTCCTTTGATTTGTTGTGGCCTTTCTGAGTCCTTTGCAATGGAAAAATTGACCTATTATTTTTCTGTAGTCAAAAAACAAGTGAAAGCAAAGATCTGGCATTTCCTAAGGGGTGTCTTGAGTCTAAAATGATTGAGAATCACTGAACTAAAGGGACATCTTACTTATCAGGTGATGGTTATTATGGGGTGATACAATGATGCAGCAGCATGCCATTTGTTTCCTCTGTTCCAGCTCCTCCAGTTGTTGAGCTTTCCTTGGTATCTCCTTTCTTCAATAACTATGAGAACACATTGACTTGCTGCGCTTGGGACTTCTACCCTCAAGACATCCAGTTCTCCTGGTATAAGGATGGAGAGTTGATCACCAACACTTCAAAGAATGATTCTTTGTTCCCCAATAGTAATGGCTCTTACTCCTATATAAGTAACCTAATTATTTCCCATTCTGACTGGAGCAGATCTGTACAGTTTTCTTGCCAAGTGAATCATTCTGCACTGGAAAGTCCTGTTGTCAAACATATATCTTGGCCTCAAGCTGAAAAAGGTAAATGATTGCTGTTCAATAGGTACTGATTTAGTAATATGTTTCTCTTGGGGTAATCTGTTTTTGAACAAAGGAACCTGTTTAGTGCTCTTCCATACAAAATGCAAGAAGGGGCAAATATTTGTATTTGTTCCTTTGGTTACATCATAGAATTGTTATTTCACCATGCCAAAAGAAAGAGTGAACCAACTATTAGTTATAATATGGTACAATATAGGCGCTTTAACGCCAATCTTTGAGGGACCAGCCCAAGGCTTTAGACCAAATCCTACAGCATCAGTTCTGAGCAATTAGAATCAGGCTTCATGGCAGTAAAAATCAAGAAATGGTTGTGGGGGCCCTTTAGCCAAGCATCATTTTGAGATTATACCCTTGAGGTCCTTTGCAACCCTATAATGCTATGCTTCATTATGTTTTCGTGCAAAATTCTGCCTCTAAATAGAAGCAGTTTACATGGTTTTTAATCATTAGTGCTAGAAGTTCTGACCAAGAACTGATTCATTCCTATGTTTACAATGGCTAGCCCATATAACAGTTAAAGGCGTACTGATGCTGCCACAAAACAGAATTGTTTCTTTAGCTTATATGGCAGGAGCATGTATTAGGGAGCCATTTTCTTTTTCTGCATCCAGGTTGCATACACGCTCTGATCTTTCTGCACTTTCTTTCTCTTATTCTATGATTTATTTTCTCAGGATTCAGCCTCTGTGCTAAGAGCTTCTCTGTCTCCAAAGGATTAGCATAGCATGAGGTTTTTTCCTTTTCAAACATCTTTCTCTTTCCTGCAGGTCCTTTTTCTGCTCTGGTGCCTCTTCCCTCTTCCATCCCAAACAAATACTTAAATCATGTTATTTACAAGATGCTGACAGTTTGATTTACTGCTGTTTATTCTCAGAATAATTACCCACTTTCAAATAAGATACGGATGCATCCTCTGAATCAGAACATCCATAGCACTTTGTGCAAAGGGTAGGGATGTTAACTTCTAATTGGGAAAACTGCTAAACTTGTCAAGAAAAAAAATTATTGAAAAATGTTCTCAAGTTTTTTTTTAATTTTGACAATTCAACCTAAACTTTTAAAAAAAAATCTTTTCATTACAGTTTTCTTTCAGGGTATTGACTTTTTTATACCAATTCAAGAGGAAAATGATGGTCAAAATATGAGAATTTTCTATGGGAATGGAAATTTTTATTCTTTCAGTAGCTGTAATAATCATATCTTGTTTCCTAAACTCTGCTTATAGTTTCTATTTAAACAAACAAATAAAAATGCTTATTGTTAAGTCCCTGATATGGACAATGAATGAGTGGTTTTGAATAGCTGCTGTGTCTCATTATATTATAATTTATATTTTGTTTCTAAAGATCCTTCAAAGTTGCCAGTCTGGATCCTGGCTGCAGTGCTTGCTGGTCTCCTAATGATACTGGTGGTGACTATTCTGGCAATGATCCTGATATTCAGTGAGTGTTCATCTATTTCATTACTCTTTTCTTTTATTAGAAATAGAAGGGATAAAGATTGATAAGTTATAACTTCATGTATACACACCATTATTACCTTCCACTGGATGGAATCAAAACAAGGTAAATGTTTGTGCATTTGTTGTCCCCTAATGATTGGGCACCTACTAAGAAAAGAGAAGCTGTAATACTAATAAAAAGTCTATCTTAATTCAGGTGCTAGATACTTGTGTGCTAAGACTTGAAATAGAAAGTGGGTAAAAGAAACAACAAGGTGTCTAATATAATAAACTGCCTATTGATCTCCTCTTCTGATGGACTCAATCTTTTTTTTTTCCCTTTCATCCACTGATTGTTTGCCTAATAACATTTACCAAAACAGCCCTTACAGGCTTGAAAAGGCAACAGGCTGCTATAGAGCTTAAAGTTGGGGAAAGAGTTCATGGAACTAAACATGGTAAAAAAATCTAACTGTACAAATAGCATTTTGGTTTGGAGTGGATAATGGGATAGAAAACCTTTCACCTCCAGGTCATCGGCTGAAATCCAAACCCTGTCCACAGTGACAAAAATTTCTTTTCCAACTGTGAAATTACTTTTTTGGTTTTACTTCAGTTCCCAGGGAAAAACATTCACAGAATGAAAATCTGCCCCTCCCCAATTAACCGGCAGCTTGGTTAGCAGCTGAACAGGGGGACTAAGGTCTGAGAAATCTTGGAGACTCCGTTACCTTTTTCCTCCAAGGTCAACGTTGAGGTTCATTGACTGGGCTGTGTAGGGAAGCTTGCAGTGCCACTGCCTATACTGTGCCATGAACAGCTCCATTGACTAAGGCTTTATTTCATTCGCATCATTTCATGCTATCCACATATTTGCAACAGAGAAGAAATTCACAGTACACCGATGGTGGGATATGTTAGCATAACCTCATGGGCTGTTGCAACAGATTTTCCTACTGTGTCATATGTGTCATATAAAGATTTGCAAAACGTGTACAAAAGACTTGGCTCCACCAACCAATGTAACTCAAGGAGACTGACTGCTTCTCAGTAGCAATTATGAGGGAAGAAATCCTACTACCTTGAAAGACTTGTTCCCATACCCATATATAGTATGTGATTAATATTTACTCCCTCTGGTGGTCAAACATAATAGCAAAGGACTAACATGGAAGCCTAAGATAGAATTGGATGTGTTAAAACAACACTTACTGTTAAACCATTGAAGCATTTCTAAGTTGCACTTTGCCCCTATCAAAAGTTGTGTCTGTTTTAAGCTAAGCCAACTTTATGTACCTGCTTTAGGATCCAAGACCACATCACAGAGCTCTGCAGACAGAGTTGTGCCAGAGACTGTTGTGATACAACTCCCACAAGAATGCCAGAGAGAGAAGTGCCACACGACCTATGCGTTGCTTAATTATTATCCAGGATCTACATTATGAGTGGTTGTCAAGTGTGGTATGTGGGGTATGAAATACAGAAGGAAACCTTGCATTCCCTCGAAGTCTTCTGCACTGAACTTGATGATGGAAGACGGGAGCTTCTGGGGAAACAAACAACACCTGCTACTTGTAATACTGAAGCCTTGAGCTGTCAAATAACAAGTAAAGCAAAGCCACTTGTGAAGAAGGGCAGTGTGCTAGATGCTGGTTTGAGTTCTCAGACCTAGTTAGTATTTCAGCAAAAAGGTCAACATCTAATCTGGCACAGAAAGGGAACTGAAATGTCCCTGAGGTGCCTGATCTGAGTGCAAGGTGACTGTGAGCCTTTGGGAGAAGATGCACTGCTTTGGAGTATTATGGTTATGACCATGAGGTTAGGCAGCCTAGGGAAATTTTCAGACTGGTGCTTCACAATCCACTACATTCACTTGGCTGGACTTGGCTCACTGAGTCACAATTAAGCCAATATCCCAGCAATGCAGCTAAGACATGATTGATGGAAATTCTGTTGTTCAAATGGGTCCAAGTCATTTTCTGATGATTAAAGTCCATGCCACTGTGTCAGATAAAGGGTGTTCTGGCTAAATTCCAGTGTTAATAACAGCCTTCACTCTAAAATTCCCTACACATTGCAATTCAGATGCAGCTTACTGTGCACTTTCACATCTCTGTCACGCTCCACCCCTGAACTGATTGAATTTCTAGGGTTGGTCACATTGTTCTACATGCAATCCATACCTTGCAAATCACTTATTTTGGGAGCCTTCAGCATGAAAGAGGAACTATCTCCACTTATAGGAATTTCTTGAGTTAACTGTTGCCTGCAGTTGTGGAGAGCTGGATTTGAGGAAGACCCTTCCAGTCTTATATCCCTATGTTCCTGGATAGTTGTAAGGTTTTATCACTTTTTATCCCTTTCTTGTTTTTATAAATATTGCACAAATTATTACTTTTACCATATTCCAGTGTATTACTCTGGCTTTGTTAGCCACTGCATCTTTATGAAAGATGCTGATTATCTTAAATGTTGGCTCTTGTTTACAAACTGTTACTGTGTGGCAAGGAGGCAATTATAGACTACAACAGCAAGATGGACTTTATTTTTATGTGTTCCTACTGATCCTGAACTCTTTGGCCTGTTCTGGAGATGCTTTCATTGGAATGCATTAATGTATTTTCAGCATACAAAATTACCAGATTTTAGGTCTAAGGATGTTACACAAATTGCCAGTTGCTCAAATCACAAGCGAGACTTTATAAAGGCAAGGTGCCATGTTTATTGATGACATGAGTTAGACATAGAGGTTCAGGCACACCGTTCACACCAACACACACAAATCATCATACACGTCATTACACACAGACATACACATGCACAAAACAACCATTTCATCCACACATACACCAGATATAGTTACCAGCAATAGTTGCTCAATATCAGCCCAGGGTGGCCAACCTGGGCTTATTGAGTAGATGATGATTTGAAGATAGCAGATTTGAAGATAGCAGATTGAAAGATAACAGCTGGAACGGGGTGAACAGATGCATCTGTGCTCCGATGAAACAGCAGTAGAGAAAGAGACTCACCTAACTTGGCATTTTCAAAGTGTTCTTTTATAGGGATTGGCATCCTTTGTTTCAGTGCTTTGGGGCTTTTCCATACCCAGCTTCTGTTTTTGTGGTTGTTCTTCTTTTGTCTTCAGCTTATCTTAGCCTTGGAGTGTTTTTGTTGCCCGGCTGGCAGAATTTTTTCTTCTGTTATCTCCTTTGTGCCTTCAAGCTTCAAAGGGATTCTTCAGCTGTTTGTTAGTTAGTTACTGGCTGGTAACTTACATCTGGTGCCTTGTTGCTTACATAAACAGTTGAATTTTCTTCTTCTGTCTCTATGTCATTCTCCGCCATTCACCCTTTTACACACACTCATACATAAAGGCTATGCAGAGTTCATTCACTTATGTCAAGCAGAAGGATACAAAATGGAGTTTTCAAGTTTCTTACATAACAAGACTAACATGGTTACACTTCACTATTATTACACTTTATGTTAACATCAGCTACATTAGTTCAGTTCATGTTACGAGGAGAGGTCCTAAAGGAAAGAAAATGATGGAAAATATAGTTGGTACCAAGGACTTTTAAGTGTGCATGTTTGTACAAATAATTACCACAAGCAAAAACTGAGAACAATGGTTTTGAAATCAATAAAGATCTTTAAATAAAGAAAACTGAGTATATATAGCATCTACGTGTCTTGCTCTGGTCTAATTTATTCCATTTTTATTTCCATTTTATTTTTATTTTTTTTCCAGTGCATATCATCTAAAATTTTATTTCATGGTTAAAAAGAAAAATAGGAGAAAGAATCCAATCATAATGTAATGTGTTTAGGCCCAAAAGAGTCTAGATTAACAGAACAGTTGGGGTATGTTTAAAGACCTAGAAACCTAATGGATATGACTTTTTAACAGTTGACTTGACATCCAGTTACTGTTAATTTTAATGGAAAGAAGGCATCTATGTCCCTAAGGCATCTTTGAAAATCTTGGCCCTAATAATTTTCATAAATGAAAATTTAGAGTTCAGTCATGCAGATACTTACCATGGAGCATGACTCTTATTTTTGTGTGTAATCTTATTTAGGTCAGTTGATTTATTGCCCAATCAGAATCAAATCTCACATAAGTTAACAGGAAAGATGCTTTATGGATTCTGCTGCTAATTTACATAGTTAAATCAGGTGAAGGGAAACCCTTTCCCCTTTGAATTTCTTTGGAAAGAAAAAACACCCCATTTTGAATTTTTTACTGCATGGACCATGGGTCCTGTTTCAGTTAAGCTTGCTCCAGTGTTTGTGTGGCCTTAGTTATGCATCATTTCACAGAAACCAATGATTGGTCCAGGGCTGGCTTGGAAACACTATAAGGGTAGAAAAAGACTGAGTTCTTAATATCAAGCATTTTTATCATCTGTTTCCCATGAGTTTCCATTCCTATATATTGAAAGGACAGTGTGTGGCCTCCAACAATTCTGGACAAGGTGACAAAAGTGACTTAAAAGTAAAATTGAACACAGAGGTCATTCAGTTTCTCCTGGGAGAGTCACTGCTTTCCTAGGAGAAACCATGGATGTACAAATGCTCAGGATTTGTCTCCCAGAGGAAAAATGGCAGCTCCAGGATTAAATTATTCCTCGGAGCAAATGTCCATACAGCTTATCCTTCTGAGAGAAGCCACAACACAGACTTCCAGCATCCCAAGTGATTTACTTCCTGCTCCCCCTTGCGTCAGAGCTAGTGTGTCAGTTGGGCTTGACTCTACTACTCCAGCCAAGCAGGAACAAAACATCCCTCCACAATTCCACACTGTACTGCAGGGAGACAGGCCAGCCTGGGTCATCTAGTCAGGACTCCTCTATGCACTGCTGCCATCTGTTGCTAGGCAGACTGAGGGAGCCTGTAGAGCATTCTGAGATGTATGCATGGGGACCCCCTAGCTATACAGCCTCAGCACTGCAAGCTCTTTGCCCTTCAGGGGCTCAGCATTCAAATCTCTGTTCAGGCATCTGCCGGTAAGTTTTTCAATTAGGAAGACAAACTCAGGAGATTTCTCTCAGGTCATTTGAATGTACGTATGTAGACATAGCTTTGTAGTGATCAAATGATATACCTACAGTTCCTGCTTCCATTTGTGGTAAGTTCTGAATAATTTGGCCCTTGCAGAGGGCCATTTATGCACCATGTGAGGACCTGAAGTGTTAACTGGTATATATAGGTTGGACTGGCTTTGGTAAAGTGGCTAATTTCATTTAAAAATGACAGCAAACAAATGAGGGGGTTATTGGTGGGGTGGGAGCGGGGGGGGATGTTAGGACTCAATTGAGTATCTTTTTCTTGAGGCAAGGATTTTTTGTGATATCTTTTACTGGACCTGAGGAAAGGTACTTGATTCCTGAAAGACTGTTCAACAGCTTACACAACTATACAGTTGATCCAGTAAGAGATTACAAAACATCCTTGCCTCAGACATTTCCTGGATGAACACTCCCAACCCAATTATCTTTTTGTTGAAAAGGGATGGCCAAGACTCCATAGCAGTAATGATCTTGAACTGCTACTACTTAAACAGGTTGCTCTCCTCACTCCTGAAGCAGTGTATTTTAGGGTTTATCTTCATGACCCAAGACAGAGATACCCTAAGCTAGTTGTGAGGATGTTTACTGGAGTCTACATATTGCAACTCAGTGTCAGCCTGAGACATCTAAAACAGTGCTACATGCTTTAAGCCCCAGAACTGGAAGCCATATAGTCATGTTCAGCTTGGGTGCAACTGTGCTGCACTGCTAATGTGGCTACTGTGCAATCAGTTATGGAGCTAACAAAGGAAGCATTAGCTGTAATATTTTTCAGGGAAGTGTCTTGCACCATATAGATGTCTTATTGTCTCAAATGATGGCACTGTATCAGCAAGTTGGCTATCAGTGGTAGTAGTAGGATGCTAACCTGGAACATTGTTGTTTTGCTGATATTGCTGCTTAATTAAGAATAGAAGACATAGGGTTGAATGCTGACCCAGTACCCTTTTGCTTGGCGTTTGCTTGATGTAACTGGTCCTGGATTTAGGTTCTGGCTGGTTGAAAATTTCCCATTAACAATGTTGCAAGCCCAAAATCAAAAGTTCCAGAACAAAAGCAAATTGGGCCCTCCATCATCTGCCATACTGCATCTGCAAACATGCATCTTTTCATGACTATCTGTATCTTTTAGTTTTCTTCTCCCTGTGCTCTTTATGGGATTGTTCATTAAGCCTGCACTTGTTGTCTAAAACATGGTGCATTTCAAAGATGGTGTCTAATCTTAGAGCCAGATCTGTGCTGGTATTTCCTTATACCTTTACAGCAGTAGGAGCTAACCTTTTTGGTTGGTGTGCCACAACATAGCCCTGCATTCTCCCTGAGTTCCTCTCCAATCCCCTTCCCCTGCTTGAATTGTTGCTCTGCTTTCTACTTTCTGCCCTGTACACACTGTGATCCATTGCTTTGCTTTCAGCTCCCTGTCCTCTCTGTTCCTGTGTTCCCTGCTCCCTCCTTGGTCTTCTGTGTGGCATGCAGAGGCTGGCCATGCCACTTGTGGCAAGCATGCCACAGGTTGGATCTCTCTGCTGTATGCCTGAATCTTTCTTATGTCAGGCATTCAGAGGCAACCAGGAGAATCAATGATGAAACTGGAGGCACAAAAATTATTTTGTATCCACAGTTTGTCCAGGATGCTTATTTAAAAAAAATATTATCAGGAACAAGATGCTTTAGGATATAATTTGTAGAATAAGAGTAGTACTTGAGCCTAAAAATTATAGTAATTTCACACCAGACAAATAGGTGTTGTCTGTAGGAGGGTCACATTTACAGTTGCTATTCAAGAGCTACAGAGCTGGTGTTAAACAAAATCTTTTAAGATGTCTGTGTATTTGGCAAAACATTCACTAGTCTCTTTTTCTTTGTTCAGTGTCAGAATGGCAGCCTAGCTGCACCTCCGTTGTCTTCCTGGTCTCTCTCTGTGTCAACCCCAGACCTGTTATACCTTGAAGCTCTTTTTTTCCTTGGGTGGAATTTGGATTAAAGTACCCTTGAGTATCAATCACATGTACCAACCAGCTCTGACTGATTAAAGGCACATCCTTTCATGAGTCTGTGACTAGTGGTGAATGTAATGACCAAGCAGCCTTTTCATTCAAACTATGGTTTATTTAACAGCAGGAGCAATGCATTTAAGGAAAATTTAAATGCAACACTTTTAAACCTTGTCTTTAAGATCTAGGGTGTGTCAGTGGAGATGTGACACATGCCAACATGAGTTTTTCTACCTGAATGACAAATTAAGCTGACAAAAGTATCCTTCTATTGGCATATCTGTACCTACACCAGGAGTTTTGCTGGCATGGCTATATCAATAACCAGCTGGGTTTTTTGGCACTACTATCAAGCACAGCTTTGCCAGCAAAACTTTGTCATTTAAATACAGCTTAATACAACCATGGGCTAAGTATTTCTATATAGGAGTTCCACTGCTTGAATTAAAGATGGGATGTTAAACCAATATAATTATACCAGTATGGCTCATTTTAGATATGGATGATTTTACTTAGGTTTATATAAGTTTAGCTTCCACATCTACTCTTCCCGTTCTGCGCTTGCCAGCATGAGAAGAGCTACACTGGTTTTACTGAAGCTGCGATTTTAAATTGAATCTGGTCTGTTCTATATAACTTTCTATAATGCACA